AACATATTGGAATGTGTTTCTCTTGAATTATGCAAAATTTGCAAGTGAAAGTTTTGAATTTAACCCCTTAAGTCACGTTAAGCCTTTTCCTCAGAAAGTTATATTCATGGCTAAAAATGGTTTACTTATTGCCTTCTTTACAGAAAATATTCAATTTTTTTTAATGTATTGGAATGTAGTACCTTGAATTGTGCAAAGGTTGTAAGTGAAACTTTTGAATATAAGCACATTAAGCATTTTCCTCAGATGGTTATATGCATGGCTTAACATGATTTTTTATTGTTTTCTTTACTGAAAATGTACAGTTCATTGTCTAAGGTATTGGGACATGAATGACTTGCAATGTGCAAAGTTTGTATGTGCAAGCTTTCAATTTAAGCACACTAAGCCAACACTGAAGAGGTATTTCTGATAGATACTTACATCCACTCACATATAACTTTCCCAAGTTTTTTTTTTGCTCACCAACCACAGCTTACTCCCTCTGGTGATGATTGTTCAATCATCACCAGAATTGGGGATGTTGGGTGGGAAGTGCGAGAGGTGGTAGGTATCTATCAGAAATACATTTTCAGTGTTGATAAATGTTAACTACCAATACAATATGTAACCCCTTCTCACGTATAGCTAGAACCCCACATTGAAGTGGTGGAGGGACAGGTGCAAAATTTGCTTAAAAGGGGCCCCTTTTGGGAAGCACTCAAAGAGAACCAGCTGTACCAGGGTACACAAAGCCATCCGTTAAGGGTAATGGGAGAAATATCACAGGTGGAAGAGGGATTCCAACTAATGAAGAGACAGGAATGGGAAACACAAAAAAGGAGCAGTGCAAGCCAAATAACAACAGACCACATGGACAGGACAAAGTAAGTGATCAGCATCAGAGTGAGAATAAAGATGAGAAATAGATGGGAGAGATGTAGGAATGAACATGCTGTCACCCTCATGTGCTGTGGATGTTTTGGAGAATAGTACAAACAGGATAGAGAAGGATATAAGAGCGATGGAAAAGAAAGATTGAAGAATCAATAACATACACTTCAGAATGTTGATGAAAACAGGCTAAAAAGAGGAGGAGGAAATAGGTGTTAAGGAAGAGAATGGATAAGGAACACAAAGCCTTGGTACAAATGGAGGTTGGGTAAGGTGTGAAGAACAATATTCAGGTCCCCGTCTGAAATACAAGAGGGATAAAGGTGGTGAATGAACAGAAGAGCATAGTGAGAACCAGTGAGAAAAAGAAATTAGACAGTAACCGGAAAACCAGAAAATATGAGAGAGAGCCAGCTGGTAACCAGGAAAGGTCAATACCAATAAACCCTGGGCAAAAAGTCACATGAAGAATTCAGAAAGATGAAGAACAGAAGGATAAGAGGGGAGAAAGAATGATGTAGTGACCAACTTCAAAAAATACCCCAACTTTAAGTAAAAATTTTAGATGCTAGAGCAGAACTAGAAATGAAACTAAGCATTTATGGATGAAAGAGCTTAACTAGAAATGAAGCTTTACATAAACGTTTTTGGATGGTAGTGCAGAACTAGAAAGGAAGCTTTAAGTACACATTCTGTGAAACTAGAAATGCCAAAATTCAAGCAAGAAACCGTACTAAATTATCTGCAAAATAAAGTTTCTTTGGAATTGATAACGAAGTATAAACATGAAGAATCAAAAGGTGGGAAGTATGTAGGAATAAACTTGATTGG